AGGCAGGTGAGCGTTCCTTCCGGCCATCCCGCCTTATCTGGGATGTCAGCGAGCGGCAAGGTGGGGGTCTCTGCCACTCCCCACTCTTATTTCGTGCCTCTCTGGGTGCTGCCTGGTGCCAGAGTGGAGAGGAGGCCTGGGACAAAGGGATTCTCTGCGTGGGCTCTGGTTTTGGGCATGGTGAAGCAGGACTCTGTGTTTGTTCTCCCTGTGCCTTGTGGGCAGTGTGGAAGAACTGAGGGCCCTCTCCGGGAAGAAATTCTTGTTGGATCTTCATCTCCCGGAGCTGCTGGTTTTCCCTCCGCAGACGGACTTCCACGACAACTTGCTATACACTTCAGGGCACATAATTCTGCAGGACAAGGTGGAGGAGCTGGGGAGCAGGAGGCTGCCGGGGTGGGAAAACCACTGACATGGGTGGAGGGTTGGCCCCTTCCTATGTTTCAAGGGCTGAGTTTTGGCTGGCTTTGCTTCAGCACTTGAGGTCTAAGTGGAAATTGTGAATGCAGCGTGCATTCCGCAGTTCCCCCGCGGCTTTGCTTCTGTAGCCACGGGATGAATTGCTTGGAACTGGGCTGTAAAAACGCCCTGTCGGGAGATGGGGACCAGCACCTGAGAGATACGTGGGGCTGTGGGCTGGGCAGAGGCTTCCAGTAGTGGGGGGTGGTAGTGGACTTGGCCCTGTGTTGCTGTGGCTGCCTGTGACCCCCCAGTGTCAGCCGTGCTCCGAGGAGGGGCCAGGGGTGCTTGCTGCGCCCACCTCTCACAGGAACTTACCCTCTTGCAGGCCAGTTGCCTCCCTGCCTTCCTTCTCAGCCCTGCTGCTGGCTCCCATGTCATTGATGCCTGCGCTGCCCCTGGGAACAAGACCAGCCACCTGGCCGCCATCCTGAAGAACAAGGGGTGAGTGCAGTATGTGTGCTGGGGGAGAGGGAAGGAGTGCAGGTGGCTCTGGTTGCCCCGAGCCCACAGAGAGTGCAAGGAGAAGGTGGCAGGAAGAGCTGCAGCCTGTTACCCTGCCCCACTGCCTCAGCCTGATGCCTGCTTCTCCCTAGGTGGGCTGGTGGCACTGGTAGTGCTGGGCATTGGAAGGGCCTGAGGGGACATGAAGTCACGTAGGGGCTCATTTCCCAGCCCCTCACCCCGCTCCCTGCCTGACACTGGCCCTGCTCAGTATCGCTCTGTGGGGGAGCAGCTCCCGAGCTCTGCCCACCCAGCAGACAGCTGGTGTTTGATGCGCCAGCCTGCTGCTATCAGCACAGTTCCTGGGACCAGGCGGGATGTTCATGGCTCTCTTGGGTGCCGGGCTCTGCCTCCAGCCAGATCTTTGCCTTTGACGTGGACACCAAGCGCCTGGCCACCATGAACACCATGCTGATGCGGGCTGGAGTCACCAGCTTCCAGCTGGCCCAGCAGGACTTCCTGACCGTGGATCCCGGAGACCCCAAGTACAGCAGGGTGACCTATATCCTCCTTGACCCATCCTGCAGTGGCTCAGGTAACGCAGGGCACCGGCCGCCCCACCTGGAGCTGAGCTCGGTGCGTGGACCTCCGGGCAATGGCTGCTCTCCCCGCAGGGATGGTGAACCGGGTGCCGAGGGAGGAGGCTGGCCCCAGTGCCGAGCGGCTGCAGGCGCTGGCCGGCTTCCAGCGCAGGGTCTTGAGCCATGCCCTGAGCTTCCCGGCTCTCCGGCGCCTGGTCTACTCCACCTGCTCGCTGCACCAGGAGGAGAATGAGGATGTGGTACACGCCGTGCTGCAGGAGCAGGGTGCTGCTTTCAGGTGCGCCAGGCGTGGGGGGATGCAGTGCGGGGTCCTGCGGGGCTCAGCACTGACCCTTGTCCCATGCCACAGGCTGGTGAACACCTTCCCTTCCTGGCCCTGCCGAGGACTCGCTGCCTTCCCTGGGGCCGAGTGCTGCCTCCGCGCCTCTCCCGCAGACACGCTCACCCACGGCTTCTTTGTGGCTG